CGTTCAGACAGTCCTCCGTCTCTGTCGCACTCGCGGGCCTCCCCGCGCGGGTGCGAGGGAGACGGGGCGACAGACCTGCATCGCTCGGCTGTCTCGCCGCGAAGGGCGGAGGGCGCCGCTAGTGGCGTCTAGCGCGTCTAGCAGTGTGGCGGTGTGGCGGTGCGGGGGAGTCGAGCGGAGTCAGTGACGCAGTGCAGTGCCGGGCCGCCGGGCCGCCGGGCCCTCTAGCACGAACGGGTCCTCCCCTCCCCGGGGTCCCGGGGTCCTAGCCATTGATTCTCTCGTATTACCTCAGTCTGCGAGGTGCTACGGCGGGGCGGGGCAGGGCGGGGCGGGGCGGGGCCTCTTCCTCCTTGGGGCAGGCCAGGGCGGGCCGCGGGCCGCGCCGTCCGTCAGGCTAGCTGAACCAACCGGCTAACGGTACATTAGAAGCAGGGGCAACCGCCGGAAAGAGCGGCAGGGCCTGGCAGGGCCTGGCAAGGCGGAGGGGAAGGGGGGGGGGCGTTCAAAAGTGGGCCGCTTGGCCGCTTGAGCTAACGCGCAGCGGAAGGAATACAGCTAGCAAGCACACTGCGGACGCCCGGCCGGCCGTTTTACCACCCAGTCAGCCTGATTCTCTCTGTCTCTGTCCCGCTCGCGCGCTGCCGGGACTGCTGCGGCGTTGGAGAGAGACGGGAAGGAGCCTGCTGCACTGGCGTGGCGGGCGCGCGTTAGCCTGGTTTCGGCTCGGTCGCGCGCCGCGGTCGCCGTGTTGACGGCAGTGTACACTGGTGAAACAAAGGCATAAAAATTATGCCCTTTAAGGGCGTAAACGATTTACGCCCTTAAAGGGCATAAATCGTTAATGCCTTTGGGAAGGGCATTAAAATTTTGCTTGAAATTCCTATACCATTTACGCCCTTCCCAAGGGCATAAAACGATTTATGCCCCTGGAAGGGCGTAAAAGAGTATTTATGCCCTTAAGGGCGTAATTTTTATGCCTTTGTTTTACCAGTGTACTCTAGGCGTTGCCTGCGCCCCGCCCCGCCCCGCCCCGCGTGGTGCATGCCGGGGAAATGGGGGGCCCCGCGAGGGGTATCGTGGTGATTACGGTCCGAGATGCGGCGCGCGTGTATGTGTGTGTGAGTGTGTCTGTGTCCAGGACGAGGAAGAAGTGAAGACCAAAGCGAAAGGGTTGTAGCGCTCTTGTCTTTTGTTTTGTTTCTTTTTCCGTCGCGCGCGGCGGTCGTGCTGTTTGAGCAACAGCGGGGCGGGTCGTCATAGGCTACGCGACGGTGACGCTCTCCGCGGCCTGGCGGCCTGGCGACGCGCTGCGGGGGATGTGAGCCGATGGCGGGCGATGGCGTCACCGCCTTGTTGTGCATCTGCGGAGACAGACACCTGCAGCGCGGCATAGCAGGCGGCGGCAGGCGGCGGCCAAAAGGAGCAGACGACGCGGCATGCTGCACCGGGCAGCCGAGGCGGCAGCGCGGCACCTGCATTCGCAGGTGTGTCGCGGTCTCGGCGGGGAAGGGAAGGGGAAGGGGAGGTTCTCGGAAAATGCGTCCATGTTTCCCACGTGGCGTCCGTCCACCTTGAAAACGGCCAAGTCGGATATTGAGTTTAAAAGAAAGTTGCGCGCGCGGCGGGGCGCGGCGCGGCGGGCCGGCCGGGGCGGGACTGACTCCGTCCGACTCGGCGACGCGGAGAGCATGTTTGACTGCATGCATGATGCAGGCTGCTTCCTCCGCGAGGGCCGCCAGGGCCGCGGCCGGGCGGACGGGGAAATGCTGGCGAGATTCGGCCTGCTCGTGGCCTTTCCTCGCAGTGGCGTGCCGCGTGCCGTGGCGTGCTCTGACCGGAGTCCTCCGGACGTGCCTGGAAGCTGGCCGTGCTGGCCGTGCGGCTGGCCGGCAGGCAGGGCAAGACGCTGCCGCCGCGAGCTCTCGACTACTCTCGACCACTCGACTCGGCATTAGTGGTATTTTACACCGCTTGCCGCCTGGCCTGCGGGCGTGCCTAGCCGTGCCTGGGCCTGCCGTGCCTGCAGACTGATTCCGAGAGGCGCCTTCGTCGCTCCGTCTCTCTCGCACTCGCGGGGCGTGCCGCGCGGGTGCGAGAGAGACGCAGCCACGAAAACGACGACCGCGGAGCGGACGGCTCGCAGCAGTCCCACGTACAACAGTACAGTACGGCCCAGACGTACGAACATACGTACGGAGCGAGGCACGCCTAGTGCTCGCGAGGCGCGGTCCAGGACAAGAAATCGCACTGCGTCGTGCAAGGTTGCCGCGCGCGTCGCGGAAAACCTGGAAATCGTGGGAAAGTCATGGGAAATGATGCTGTCGTGAAAATCATGCGGGAGAGTCTCGGTGCTGGTTGAGGCGAATGGAACTGGAGACTGAGTTTGTTGTGAATGCGCGGTAGTGTGGCCAGTGACTCTGCGCGGGCCGGGCGCCTTGCGCTACGTGGGACGGCGAGGTTTGGTCGGCCAGGCCAGGCCGTGAGTGCGAGAGAGACAGACAGCCCCTCCGGCTCCTCCGTGGCTCCGCGGCGGTCAAGGCTATCGCGCCGATTGCGAACGCGCTCTGTCTCTCTCGCACTCGCGGGCCGTGCCGCAGTGCCGAAGGCGTGCGAGAGAGACAGGACCTCTTTGCCCCACGTGGCGTGTCGCCCCGCGCGGCCTGCATCGGGGGCACCGCCTTATCCCCGTAAGAGCGAAAGTGTTGGCGGTGCGGTGGGTGACGCGGTGCCGGGCATCAACAAGCAGGCGCTGCAGGCGCTCAGAAAGAAGAAGAGATACACCCCGGCTTTCTAAAAAAAAAATATCGTCCGAAAAAAATTAAATTGTGATGTACGGTACGGCAGAAGTATGGTGATGGCGGTGGCACTTGGAGTGCCACATTTCGCACGTCGATCTGCCTGCAACTGGTTGGTCGGGTGTTCGCCGACGCTGCGTCGCTTTCTATCCCGTCCTGCTAACTTTATTATCATTATTATCGCTATATCGCCACCGTCAGTGGCAAAGCTGAGCTGTTCCTTTTTTTTTGTCGCCGCGGTGAGTGCACTGCGCTGCGTTGCTGCGCGTTGCTGTGCCGCGCCGGCGGACACTGGCTGATTGACAGAGTGGCGCGCTGACGACTACACTGCCAACGACGACGACGGCGTGCAGCGGACTCGGCAAAGACTTGGCTGAGATGACGCCGCCGCTTCGGCGCTTCGGCCTTGGCTGTCCCATTGAATCCGCTCCCCCGCAGTCACTGCCACGTTGCATCCCGCCGCCGCGATCCTCTCCCCGCGAACCCTTCCTCGCCTGCCGGCCTGACCCTTCTCCTTGATGGATCCTCTCCCATCGCCGGGCTTCGGCGTGTCGGTCCGATTGCCCCCCCTGCGCCCCCTCCTCCTTTGCACACGAGTCCGCGCAGTCAGTCCGCGTGTCCGTTTTTTCGTCTTGCCGGCACTCCGTGTGACTTGGTCGACTTGGCGGCACTCTGCCGGCCAAGGCCAAGCAAGCCGAGCCTGGCCGAGCCGCGGATAGGCAATGATGCTCTGGCCGTGCCGTGATGGGTCGCGCCTGTCTGTGTGCCGCGGTGCCGTGGTCGGCGCCGTGTACCGACGGGAAAATAGCCCACGGACCGCGCCGACGCCACAGCCAGGCACGCCCAGGCGAAGACGGCCCGCCGCGAAAGCCTTCGGGGCCAAGCAGACACTCTCAAATTTAGTCGCGTTGTCCAATCCTTATCGATGCTTTTGTCGGGCGGAGGGAAGCGCTACTGGCCGCGCTGGTCCGTGTTTTCCTGCTCGATCGACAGCGCGTCGCTGCCCCTCGTCGTCCTGCTGATAAAGGCCCCCGTGACGGCCGTGGCGGCGGCGTGGCAGGTGCATCCACACAGAACAGCCGATGGCCGGGCGCGCCGCGCCACGCCACTGCGATAGCGGGCGTGGCGGGCTGCCGCGCTGCGCTGCGCCCCGGATATTGGACTGGTATCGGGCAGCCCGCCGCCTCGGCCGGCCGGGGTGACGGGGATGGGCCGGGCTGGGCGCGGTGGTGCAGTCAGCGGTCACGGCCAGAGCCAAGCCAGAGCCGCGCGGGTCCGCCCCGCACGCCCCGCACGCCGACGCGATGCAATTAGGTGGCTCGATTTTGATATCGCCGCGCTGGCGGCCAGCCCCGCCAGCCCGCTCGGCTCGGCACACTCGGCACACGCGACGGCACGGGCCAGCGGCCGGCCACGCCCCGCGACGCCGCAGGCCGACAGCCTGGAACAGCCCCCTACGTCTCTCTCGCACTCGCGGTGCGTTCCGCGGGGGAGCGAGAGAGACGGAGCGACGGGCAGGCAGGGCCTCCGCGGCGGGCCGGCGGGGTGATGGAAGTGACTTTGCGTCCGCGTCCCGCGAGGCGCCCCGCCATCTCTAGTGCATCTGTTGCGCCCTCTGGCCCTGGCCGCCTCGCTCCTTCCCTTCGTCACGTTGGCCCAGTTCGACTCCCCCCTCCCCCTTTCCCATTCCGCCTCCTCCGCGACTTTCTCGCTTCGCTTCGTTATGAGCGCGTTGTGCGTAAGACTGGCGCGCCGTGTGGGTTGGCTCGCTCGGGTTTGTCGTTTTTTCGCCGTCGTTGGTGTGTGTCTTTCTGTTTTTTCGCACACCCTATTTGCGTTACATTACTTCATTAACACGCGCGTGCGTGTGGCGGCGCGGCGGCGCGGCTCGTGATTCCGAAAGCTGCTGTCTCTCTCGCACCCTCGTGGTGGGACGTCCGGGACGCGCTGTGAGGGCGAGAGGGACGGAGCGACGCCGTGCAGTGCAGGGCGTTGTTGCGTGCGTCGCGCTCCATCGGCGTGGCGTGGCCGGCGTGGCCGTTCGCCTGCAGGTTGATTCCGAGAGTCGCTTTGGTCGCTCTGTCTCTGTCGCACTCGTGGGGCGTCCCGTGTAGGTGCGAGACAGGCAGCACTGCTGGCGGTTCGCGTGACGCGTGACCTTTATGCGAATGAAAAGTAACGCCGTTGTCTTGTCTTTTTCAGGCCGTGCGCTGGGCCGCTGGGCCGCTGGCGTGCTAGGATGGGCCGGACGGAGCAGACAGGTGAGTGTCTTTGTCTCTCTCGCACCTTGGTCGTGGACACACTCTAGGAGAGAAATCCCCTCGCGGCAGCGCGACTGCGGCACGGAGGCACCTTCCTTCCCTTCCCTCGGGCCCTCGAGCCTCTAGCAGCCGCGACGACCTGCCAGGCTGTCCTCTCGCAGTCGCGGGGCGCCACGCAGGGGTGCGAGAGAGAGGGGCCGCGCGACGGCACTGCTATTCGGAATCAGCTTGCCGACTGACACGACACACGCGCGCGCCGTTCGTGACACGTTCGTGACACGTTCGTGACGCGCTTCGGGCGTGGCGGCGTGCGTGCATGATGGCTAAGTGCCACACTGGGTGTGCCATCGCCCTCCCTCTCTCTTTCTCTCCCCCTCTCTCTCCCCCGCCGCGCCCCTCGCAATGCGGTGCTTCCTGATTACCACCAATACTCCCCCTTCCCTTCTCCTTTCGCTTACGCATCGCGGCATCGCCCCAGCAGGAACAGTGCTTTAGTCGCCTTCTCTCTCTCTCTGGCACTCACGGGGCCAGCGGGGGAGAGACAGAGCGAAGTCCTCCTGCAGAGCGTCGCCGCGTCGCCCCACCCCTCCGGCTTTGCGGCGGGCTCTAGCTGCGCGACGCCGCGACGCCCCTGTAAGCCCTCATCGCCGAGCCCCGCCGCGCTGCGCCGCGCCGCGGGGGCGGCGTTCGGGTCGCCGCGGGGGCGGCGTTCGGGTCGAGTGGCTCTCTGGCTTTCTGCTGGTCTCGGTCTTTATTTCATTTCGGCTCGTTTAACGGCTCGGCTGCGCCGCGGACGCCCCGGCCCGCGGCTCTGTGCGCGCTGCGCTGTGCGGGCGGTGCAGGCGGTGCGGAGAGCACGCTTTCGCCCAGGTCGCCGGCGACGGCCGGGCCGACGTCGTGCTGCTTTTGATCCTCGCCGCCGGCCGGCCCGCTGCTAGCTGCCCTGCGCCACGCGGCCGTCCTGCTTGGACTCGCCCCGGCCGTGTTTCCGCGTCGCGGGGCGGGGCGTGGGGTGTACCGGCCGCGCAATCAGTCACGAGAACAAATTGTTGACCGCCAGGCTGTGCTCTGGACTGGGCCCGGCGGCTGGCTGGGCCGGCTGGGCCTGGCTGGCCGGGACTCTGCTTGTTTGGCGTTGGCGGACCCGCTGCCCCCGCGTCCTGCTCGCCCCGCCCCTGGTCCCGCCCCTGATCCCGCCCGGCCGAGCGATTCAGAAGAGTCGTTTCGTCGCTCTGTCTCTGTCGCACTCGCGGAGCTCTCCGTTGGGGTGCGAGAGAGAGAGAGACCGCTCCTCTGCATTGCTGGGCAGGCCAGCCGGACCACGCCACGCCACGCTAAGGTCGGGGAAGACGGCCGGGCCGCGTCCGAGAATAGTAGTGGGCATGTTTGTACGAACAGGAAGAGGGTTTGTTGGTGCGGCGGCGGGGCGAGGCGGGGCGGGGAAGTCCGGGCCTCTGAGGGGTGCCTCGCCTCGCCTCGCCTCCCTCTGCGGCGCGATTTCGAGCTGAGCTTTCGGCGGCGCTCAGTCGTTCTCTCTGAGAGTCACGCAACGTCCCGTCTGGGTGCGAGTGAGACAACGCGACGAGGCAGGTGTCCCCCCAGGGGTGCGAGAGAGAGAGAGAGACGCCCCGTGCTCCGCACGCCTCACGCACGCGCGCGCTGCACGCCAAGCCGTGGCGGAAAGGTCAAGCCGACGGGGGTTGGCGAGGGTGGGGTGGTTGTCTCTTCGGTTTAGGGGAGGCTTTCGGAGGCGCGTGGCTTATCTCTTCCACAGCGGGGCGCATCGCATAGTCAGGCGCAGCGCGGTGCGAGCGGACGCGTTTTTGGAGCTCATTTCGGGGTGTTTTGTCCTGCTCTGCAGTGCTCTGCAGGACATGGCGTTGCCGTGGGGATGATTGTTGAAGGCCGTGGACCACCTGTTGCAGATGACTCGCCCCAGGACACCCAGCTCACCATGCAGTGAAGGGCGCGCGCCGTGAACGCGGTGAACGCTGTCAACATGGAGCACCGCAAGCAGCCCGTGTCCCCCGAGGTGGCCCTGGCCTCGGATGTGTTCGACAAGCTCTGCTCGGCCAACACCCTCAAGACCATCCTCGGCTTCCACCGCCACCTCTGCGAACTGCTGCACCTCAAGCCCGGCCCGTTCCCCCAGTTCTACCTCAAGCTCAAGGTGCGATGCATGATACTCGATTTGCCGGATGTTCGTTTCCTCTCTTGGTCGATTGTGCTCACCTGTTTTCTTTCTTTCCAGTCAAAACTACGCTCATGGAAAGCCCAGCCCCTCTGGAACAAGTTTGATAAACGCGCCAGTCATAAGTGTTACAATCGGGGAAAAGCATGTCCAAATACAAGGGTAAGAGGGATCATATCTCTTTTTTGTGGTATATGTACGGGTCATTTTATTTCTTTGATTTTTCAATTTCTAACGTTTAATCTTTTCTCTCTTTCAGGTACTTATTATAGGCGCAGGACCGTGTGGCCTGCGAGCGGCTATAGAAGCCCAGCTTTTAGGATGCAAAGTTGTAGTAATTGAGAAACGAGATAGGATATCTAGGAACAATGTGCTGCACTTGTGGCCCTTTGTCATTCAGGACCTTCGGGCGTTAGGAGCCAAAAAGTTTTTTGGAAAATTTTGTGCTGGTGCCATTGACCATATTAGTAAGTTATCGCTGGTCCAATTGTTAGTTTAAGAGAGGTTTGAGATTTTTTTATTTTCTTAAAATATTAATGGCCAACTCTCTATTGTTTCAGGCATTCGTCAACTACAATGTATATTGCTGAAGGTAGCTCTGATTTTAGGTGTCGAATTTCATGAAGGTGTTGGCTTTGAGGCTATTGTTCCTCCCCCTGAGGATCAAACAGAAAGTAAGCAAAAAAGATACTTCTTTGCTTTCAACTTTGGACACATCCTCTGATATTTCTTTAACTTCTCTGTATTTTTTTCAAGGAATTGGATGGAGGTGTGTAACTAGTCCTCCAGACCATCCAGTCTCACAGTATGAATTTGATGTACTCATTGGGGCTGATGGCAAACGCAACACTTTAGAAGGTAGTGTACCTTCATTTAAACAATATTTGCTTTAATTGACATGCATTATTAGTTTTATCCCAATTTTGACTTGACTGGATTTTGCAATATTTTTTTCATCAGGCTTTAGAAGGAAGGAATTTCGAGGAAAGCTAGCTATAGCTATCACTGCTAACTTTATAAATCGACGGTCTGAAGCAGAAGCTCGGGTTGAAGAAATATCTGGAGTAGCATTCATATTTAATCAGAAATTTTTCAAAGATTTATATGCTGCTACTGGTATTGATTTGGAGAACATAGTGTACTATAAAGATGAAACACATTATTTTGTAATGACTGCCAAAAAGCATAGTCTTCTGAACAAAAATGTGATTTTGCAGGTAAAATCCATTTTCTTTTGATTTTACTTTTTTATACCAAATTTAGTTTTTCTTGCTAAGAAAATGTACCTTGTCAATAATTTGTGTGTATACGGCATTTTTTCCCCTTGTTGTAGGACTATCCTGACACTGCCAAACTGCTTGACCCAGAAAATGTAGACAAAGAAGCTTTGATGGAGTATGCCAGGGAGGCAGCAGACTTTTCTACTAATTATAAGCTACCCCACACTGAGTTTGCTGTCAATCATTATGGCCAGCCAGATGTAGCCATGTTTGACTTCACCTCAATGTATGCAGCAGAAAATGCCAGCCGTGTGGTTGAAAGGCGAGGCCACAAACTGCTGACCCTCCTTGTTGGTGACAGTCTACTTGAGGTACTTTTGTTTACAGTTTCAGTCTCCTGCCCATAGATGTCTAAAGCACACTCAATTAATTAATTTTTTTTTGCTTGCAGCCATTTTGGCCCACTGGATCAGGCTGTGCTCGAGGTTTCTTGAGTGTTTTGGATGGGTGTTGGGCCATCAAAGCATGGGGTAGTGGCCAGTATTCAGCTTTAGAGGTTCTGGCTGAAAGAGAATCCATTTACAGATTACTTGGTCAAACCACACCAGAGAACCTCAACAGGGACCTCAATGCCTACACACTGGAGCCTCAGACTCGATATCCAAATTTCAATAGCAGAGCTGTGTTGCCCATCCAAGTGAGGGGTCTTTTTGACACAGACGATCCTTCAGGACTAGAGGCCATGCTTCTGAACCCGAGTGCAGCAAGTGCTCTTGAGATGCCCAAGAAGAGACGCCGGAAAGATTCTCAAGTCCACCCAGATACATTGCTGCATTGGCTGAAGAAGCAGGTGGCTTTGTATGACAATATCCATATTTCGGATATGACATCTTCATTCAAGAACGGCTTAGCCTTGTGTGCTATCATTCATAGATATCGACCTGACTTAATTGATTTCCATTCACTTAAGCCTGATGATATTGTAGAGAACAATCAACTAGCGTTTGACACTCTTGAACGTGAGCTTGGTATTCCACCAGTGATGACAGCTCAAGAGATGGAGGAATGCGAAGTACCTGATAAACTAGCAATGTTGTCATATCTCTCTCAGATTTATGATACATTCAGAGGTGAAATCCCCCACATAAAGCATCCGAAGCTGGATGATGAAGATATTGTCAAGGATAAAAAAGAGAAAACGTCCGAAGCTCTGCTTGCAACTCGCATGAGAGAATTGAGTAAACTTACACCCCAACAGAAAGTCAGTTTGCTTGGCCGAATCACCAACCATCGGCCGTCTTCAGGCCGCAAAAAGTATGCTTCAGATCGAGAGCTTGGCAGTGACAGAGGTGATCGTGATGGTACAGCATCTTCAATCATTAGCAATCCTGAAAGAAGGCATGCCAATGATGTATCAAGAAGGAATAGAAAACGACGTAGTGGTGCATCTGATCGCAGTGCCTTGACTTTGGTAAGTGTGTTCTTCTTTATCTTATCTTCTATTTATATGGCCCAAGACTTGGGTTTTTGATGCCTTGTTCACTGGGAATATTTTCAAAAATTCACGGAGTATTTGTAAATGGTATAGGAAGAACAAATAGCTCTGAGGTGTCCTCCCCCTGATTTGAAGGGTCTTAGCTTGGTGAGTTGAGTAAGAAGAACAGAGATATTTCATTTAAAGGTAGCAGTATTTTATTTTTATGAGACACTTCGTTTATATGTGTTTGGTGATGGTGTACTCTTAGGAGGAGCAGATGTCTCGGCTTCAGGAGCGTATAAAGCGCCTTGAAGAGATCAAGCAGAATCGCATTGAGCGACAGCAGCGCAGCAAGTACATGCAAATGCTTACAAGACAACAGTTTTATAAAAGTATTCAGATGCTCCAGGCAAATGCGCCACGCTCGGATGATGATGATACACCATTCGATGATTACTCTCTCTTCATGTACCGTATGACGGCTCCTGATTTTCAGGATAGAGTAAAGAGTTTGGAGCAGAAACTGTTGTACCCTGTAAGGCTGCCTGGATGGATTTATTCTGTGCACATTGTTTTCATGGCTTCATAATCTGTGAAATCTGGCCTCTAAACACTATATGTTGTGTCGCTGCTGTCGTGATGGTTTCTGAAATTTTGCTTTGCAGGCCTTCTTTTGTGACTTCAAAACTTGTTGCCTGCCAGTGTTAATTAATCAGCATGGTTTGAAATTGTTATTATTTTCCCATTAACAAATGTATTCTATTTTGTTTGTGCTTTTCAGTTTGTCAAGTGAAAACTGTGTTTCAGGAGTGCAATAATTGAAACTTTACTTCTCAACTATTTTTCTGTGTTTAGAATTTGCATGTAATGTTGTACTGTATGTTCTAGGTACATTCATAATGTAGATGGGATGGTTAACCTTTGAAATTGCTTCCAGGATCGAGATCGCTTGCAAGAAGAAATGAAAAGGGGAACTGTTGACCCTGAATTTTCTGGTAGAATCAAACACATTGAGGATAAACTACGTCGAGTACCAGCTACAGAGAAAAAGCCAAGAGACCTAAACAGAGCCATTGGTAAACATTTTGTTAAAAAGCCTGTTTGTCATCCAGTGCCCACTTCCACTATCATAAGGGTTTGTTTTTTCTGTGCAGGAAAAATTGAAAAGACTGATTGGAATGTTAAAGAAATTGAAAAGAAGATTGCTGAAAACAAAACAACAGGCCGTAGCCCTCGCCAACGTGCTGAGAAAGTTCCCAAGTGGAGCCGTCAGCAATTTGATGATAAGGTTTGTCATTGGACATGACGTACCCCATTTTGCAACATGCTTAAACCTGTAATTGACACTTTATTTATTCTTCATTCAGTTTTCTGCAATGGAAAGAAAGCTCAGGGTAAAGGGATTTGATGAGGAAACTGCAAGCAAGTATGCTGAAATAGACATGAGTTTGAAGCAGCTTGAAAAGAAAATCAAAGAGGGTGGGTCTCTCGAGGCTGGAAAAGTGTCAGCTATGGCTGCTCAGTTAGCTCATAAAAATCAGCAAGAAGCTGAAAAAACGAATATTCAACGATCGGTGAGTGCCGCATTTACAAATTCATTGCATTTATGACTGGTAAATATTAACTAACTTTCTTGTCTTCTGCAGAACTCGAGACCTGCATTGGTGCTTCCTGCCCAAGGAGGATCTGAAATGTGTCATTTCTGTAATAAACGGGTATATTTAATGGAACGTCTAAGTGCTGAGGGAAGATTTTTCCACAGAGGTTGCTTCAGATGTGAATACTGTAGCACAACACTTCGACTTGGTAGCTATGCATTTGATCGTGATGGTAAATTTGGAAGTAGGTTTTTCTGTACCCATCATTTTGGTATGCATGGTACACAAAAGATGAAGACAGCTCGTAAAAGTGAGGAGCTTAGGAATATACTTGGTAAAGAAAACATACCGCGTCAGCTCACAATTGCTAAGCCACCAGACAAGGTAAGTAGTGTTTAATAATAAATAATTTTCTTAGTATTTTTTATGTTTAGAAGGGTAGAAGTTTTGCAAGTGTTTCCTTTTTTTCTTTTTCAGAGCAAATATGCTGCTTCAAGTGTTGATACTGCTGACAGTCAAGACCAGAAGACTCCCAGCACTCCTCAGCCCCAGCCTTTGGACATTGATTTGGACTTGGACCGTGGACAGACTCCAGAGCGTATCACATTCTCCAATTTAGCTGGTGCTGCAGGTTCCTCTGACCAGGAGGACCACCCCAGTGAAATGGACGAAGATGAATGGACTGATCGCAACTTTGGAGCATCTGCAGCCGAATGTGATTCAAGTGACGATTTGTCTGATCTCAGGTACATAAATTGAGTTATTTACCCCAGGACTGCATGTCATTTTTTTTTTTTTTGTATTTCAACTAAATCTTGTTATGTTTTATTTCAGTGATGAGGATGATGATGGTGCAGAGGCCTTTGCAGAAGCAATAGATGTTCCCTTAACTGCTGATGAGACCCTTCGGCTAGCAGAGAATTGGACGAGGCGGTATAGCACCGACGGTGCTCGGCAAAACGGAGCCGGTGACAAGGACCGCAGCGCCCTAGAACCCAATGCTGATGAAGATGATGAGCCTGAAAGTGGAAGTTATGAGTATGAGGATGAAAGTGATGACTTCAGTTACCAGGAGTATGACAGTGAAGGTAAGCGTGTAATAGATTCTTTTTTTTTTTTTTTTTTAACTCAATGGGCAAGGAAAAGCAAAGCTGACCCCTCTCTCTATAAATTTCAGATGATGACAGTGACACAGCCACTGAAGGTGAAGAAGAAATTCGTCAGCGTGAACTACGGAAACAAGAAGTGCGCCTGGAAGTGCCCGACTGCCTGCCTGGAAGGAATGATACTGACACTGGCTCAGATACTGAGGTGAAGACTCTTCCCACATCTCCCCACGGCAGTTCTTCTGAGCTGTTTTGTTCTTTGAGTGACCTTACCACTCTTGACAGTGACATCCCTGTTAATGCTATCCAGACCATCAATACCGATCATGAAACTAGTGAACAACTTGTGAACTCTGATGTGGATTCTTTGGTGTCTGACATTGGCTCAGTTGTATCCCAAACGCAGACTCCAAGTGGATCACCCAAATTGCCAAGTTCACCCCCTGAAGTCCTTTCTCATTTAAACTTTGAAAACTTGAAGCGGTTGAATTCCCTTAACTCTATGATAAATTCAGCTAAATCAAAAGAACCCACATCAGGACCAGTAACTCTGCAAGGAATGTTTGTGCCTCCTACTACCGCCCCACCTTCTGATCTAGTTCCAATTGCTTTTGATGCATTATTTAATGACCTCTGTGGAGATTTTGACTCTGATCAGATGTCCATTGCAAATTTTTCTGTAGACTCAGATTCTCTTCATGGACATTCAGGTTGGTCCGACTCTGAGTCGGTTATAAATATGAACTGTACGGCAGTCTTACAGCCTACTAAACCCATTGAAGCTCATGCAAACTCATCACCACTGCCTTCATCACCTCCCCCTGTAAAGAAACCAGACAGTCATATCATTGTGGCTGCAAAAATAGTTGATGTAGCATCTCTTCTGCCATCTAAATCTGTGCCTATTATTGTGAATCGACCGACTGACTTGAAATCTAAAACTGAGATCACTTCAAACATTAGTAGTCCCCCTATTGTTTCGTCTGCGGGTGAAAAAGAGGCTCTCTCTTCTATTATTAAAAAGCAGGCTCGGTCTAAACCACGTGATTTGCTTCCACCTGATTTCAATAGCTTGAAAGCTTCTAAATCAGCCCCTCCATCTCCCAAATGGGAGGGGGGAGTTTCAAACAGTTCATCTGTTCCGCCCTCTCCCAAACCAATGCGAGTGAAAAAGAAATCAAAAGATAATGTGTTGTCTAATAAGGACTCAAGTCTTCAGGCCCCACCCACCCCTACAAGACGGAGGAAGCATAAGACTGGCAGCGCTGATAGCATTGTCTCAACTCTTTCAAGCCCACTTCCCAAGGGAGCTAAAGGACAAACTGAGCCTAAAGTGGATCAAAAAGAAAAAGAAATGGCAAAGTCCTCAAACGCACATGACTCTGGTCATAGCACGGCATCCGCTACGCCCTCCTCTCCTCCTGCTACCCCATCATCATTGCCGACAACTCCAACTACACTTTCAAGGCCATCCTCCCCCACAGGAAATCTGACTGCTTCTCCTGTTGCTCTCTCCCCACCTGCCTCACCTGGGGTATGTCACATTGTTCCGCTACCAAACCCGGATTTACCTTCTTCAAACTTGATTGAAGAACAATCCAGCAGTCCTGAGCCTGTAAATGCTTCAGTTTCAGAGAAAACTTCCTTTGAAACAATTGAAAGCCCTCTTTTAGTTCCTGAGAGTCCCAAAGAAGCTGAAGTTTTATCCAAACCTGCTCCAATCCCACCTTCAAGACCATTATCTCCTCCTGTTTCCAGGCCACTGTCTCCTGTATCATATCGCCGTCGCTCTAGTGGAGCGCTCTCTTCTTTGTCATCGCGACGTAGTTCCTTGACTGCCAGTCGATACAATTCACCAAGCACTTCTTCGTACAGCACTTCTCGTTACAGCACTCCCAGCAGCACTTACAATTACACTTCACGTTACAGTACCCCATCATCATCTTATACCCCATCATCATCTTACACGCCTTCATCATCTTATGCCTCATCTTCATCTATGAAATCCCCATATACTTCTCCATCTTACACATCTTCTTATTCATCCCCATCTTATCCTTCACAGAATTATTCATCTTCATCTTACAACTCAAGTGGCTCGCTAGGAGCAGCATATACCTCAAAATATACATCTTCCCCAAATTCTTACTACTCCTCTCCTAGTAGTCGTACGTCCTCTGGCACCAGGGGCTCCAAATCCAAAGAAAATTGTGTGATTTCATAGGTAATTAATTGTATTGTGCCAATTTTTATGTGACCATTGTTGGAATTCTACACCTGCATCAGGGGTGTAGGGATTATTTTTGCCTCATTCTATTTATTGTCTTTATTACTTTGTGATGTTTTTCTCTAGTCATTTTCTTGAGCAAACCAATAAATGATCGTGATTTCAATTATTGTAGGAAGATTTTGTGTTACGTCTTTTATCAAACAAATCAAATGTTTCTTTTTAAGATTTAAACTGCCATATTATTACTTAGTGTAGGTGTGGGCTTTTCTCTCACTCCACCTCACTTAGAGGTCAGAGTTCATCACAACCACATTTTTTTGGTAGCACCTCTTGCATCATGTTTTTCCAAAGCCATTTAATTCCAGGTATTTATGAAAAATGCTTGTTTGCTAGAGTTTTTTGTTGTGTTTTTTTATTTTTGGTGTGGTCATTAACCAAATTTTGAGGTTCTCCTTTAAGGATGAGGACATGAGTTGTGTTGTACAAAGTTTTTCCTGACTGGATTTTCACAGTGGCGTTTGGAAAAATTGTTGAGAAAGAATAGCTGCTTTGTGATCCTCTAACACGAAGGCTCCTGGATTGCTCATTCTTCTGCATATTACTGTGAATAGCACATGTAATGTCTTTATTGTGTAAATATTTCTGTCTTGCATATATTTCTTCCAAAGTGTGAGTTCTCAAAGTGCACTAACTACATAGCTCTAGCTGAATTATGGAACTTCTTGTTTTCAAGGGGTGTATGATAATTGACGTAACACTGAGCGCTTGAAAGGAATGATATGTAGTTCCTCTCTCTTTCTATATATATATATTGATACACCTTTTGCATCTATAGGAATGATAGCTTGAATCTTTATGCTCTTTCTCTTGCCATTATCTTCTGCGTGATTCTCTTCTCTCTTATATTTAGGAGGCATTTAATTCCCAGCAGAGTTCACTCATCTTTGCATTGTTTGGATCAGTGGTGAATTTGGACTCGACTCATCAAATTCATCATATACTATTTTGTGTTGTGTGATACTTATCAAAATTCACTCATCCTCAGACTGCATTTTAACTGACATGGCCTGTTAATTAAGCGCTCATATCATTTGGTTTGCCTTTGTCTCTTGTCGTGTTCCTCTTGGCAAATTTTCAGGATCTCAACCAAGGCATTTAATTTTGTCTTGTTTATTAATGTTTTTAATTTCCTCAGGTTGCGTCAGAGGAGACCTCTTCAGAGTCTGAAAGTGTGGAAAATTCAGCTACTGAGATTGAAACTGATTCTGAGTTTGAGCATGATGGGACTACACCCACAAGACATGAGATCCCTGATATCATTATTAGTGATCATCTTACACAGGATCTTGAAGAGCCCAAAAAAGTTCAGGTGGGTTTCAATGAAGTGTTATTGCTTTTAGGCCTCCTGTGCTCAAAGAGAGTTTCATTTTATAATTTCTTTTAAAATTCCAATTCCAGATACGCAGTGGGAATGTAGTTAATGGTAATATAACAAAAGAATCAGCGGGTATCAAGTTGCAGTTTTCCCCTCTCCAGAACAAAGTGGAGTCGAACAATAACGCGGTCGTAAATGAGGTGGTCAATCAGCCTACTCCAGTGCGGCCGTCGCCACTCATAAACCCCCGCCGTGGAGACTACCTCTTGAATCGAACCCAATCCACGGGGGGCATTGCCTCAAAGCTTTCCCTTGAACTCAAGAAGAGGTACCTCCTAGGAGGGGATAGTGCTGGATCAGTCAAAAAATCGGGCTCAGCCACAACATTGGATTCAAGATTCAAAAGTTTTGTTGATCAAATCTCAGAACATCAGAAACTATTGAACCCAGCTCCAGAACCCAGTCCAACAATGCAGGCCTTTCTTCAGAGCTCAACTAAACTTCATACTTCTCCCAAGCCTTCTTTACCATCATCTGCAACATCGAGTATCACTGCCTCAACAGTTGCCACCTATGGCAAAAAGGAGTTGCCTCCAGTCCCTGGGGTATTCCCCCATGTTTGTCGTCAATCTTCTTTAGAGAAGTCATTATCATTAAAGTTAGACAAGAGTATTCCAGATGTAGCGGCTGTCTCACTACCTGGACATAAAGAACTGCCCTCTGACAATGTGTTTGAACATGTTTGTGGCAAAGGAACTTCACAGCCCCTCCGAGTGGAAAATTGTCGGACTTCAATACCCAAAGACGAGCCAGAGGAGCCACTCGACAGTCTTCAACCAGACTCTCTAATTATTCAGGGTTCTGATGAAGAGAAGAATAATATACATGAAGCTTCAGACAAGCAAACAGACAGCAGGCCGAGAAGTCCAGCTCATGAAACCTCCATAATTGTCCCATCTATCGCTTGGCAGGATGTTAAGGGACAAAAAGGGGATATGGATAGTGACTCCCTTTCGTCAGATGTCAGTCTTGTGGATGAAGTTGAGGAAGAGGAAGAAAGAAATGACAAGGCGAAGCAAGAATCTCAGCAACTACCTCCTCGGGTCGAAGTCCATAATTCGTGTGGTGAATTGCTCCAGGATGTCTCTCAACGTCAAGTGACTGTCCACCCAGTGAAGCCTGCACTGGACCTGCCCCTCAGCTCCATCAGCTTATCATCTTTAGGCAAACACATTGGGCCGGGGAGCGGTCGCAGCAGTCCTGTTTCTCCAGTTTCTATCCAAACGGACATTGGCCAAGCTCCACTTACCGAAACTGAGCTCTCAGACTGGGCTCACGATGCAAATCCAGGTGTATCTGAAGACCTAGATGATGTGGAGTTTAACATTAATCCTGAGTTTGTGACATTGCGTAGAAACAAGAAACACAAAAATTCAAAGAAGCCTGTTCGTGCTGAAAATGTTCGTCCGGCAAAGATTGCCACCGGTGAGGACCTTGAAGATTTTGAAAGTGACAATGCTCGCAGTCCTGCCCATGCCCCTGCTCCAGTACCTCGCTTGCATGCTCTTGCTTCAGAAGAAAATCTTGAATTCATGGACACTGGAGAAGAAGGAAGTAGCACAGATGATCAGAATAATCCTATCAAGGAAAACCTTAGGTATAAGGGCTATGCACAGTTTGTGAATTCTGATGAAACGTCGCCATGTGCCATCAATAAAGAGCTTTTGCGCTTGCCTGATGGAAATGGCTATGTGCAATTAAAGGACAATGAGGAAGATGAAGATGCAGCCACTCCGGTTGTTGATAGCAATGCCACCATTCCTCCCATCGCAAGCATGTCATCTCCTGAAAATACCACCAGCTCAAGTTCAGATTCTAAAAGTATTTTGGACCAAAACAAGGGCACATCCTCTACAGTTGAATTATTTGATGAAGACAATTCCTACCATGTTGAGCCCTCTACAGAAGATGCCACAACTACCACCAGCGACATGGTAACTATTGTCGATACCCCGCTTGATCCTCCTCCTCCTGCTCTTGTTAAAGGGGCTGACGAAGGAGATCAGAAAGCGTATGCTGAGTGTGTGAAGCGGCTTCAGGGTCGAGTTTCTCCCTTCAGCAATGCCAAGGATTCTATTGATATTAGGAAGTCAAGGCGGTCCAACAAATCATCTCCCGAGTTGGTGTCCCCAATAGAGGAGAAGAGTGCTGCAGAGTTGCAATTGGATATGACACCGACTCCTCAAGAACCTAATAATTCTCCAACTAACAATGCAGGAAGTGGGTCACTGAAGTCTCCTACTACATCAAGAAAATTACAGCAACTTTCCCAAGAGCGCTCTAAACAGAAAAGTTTGATTCATGATATGGTAATGGATAAGCTTCTGGCCCAGAAAAAATCTCCTCAAGAACGAAAGGCACGCAAGGGGTTAAGGAACTCCTTGAGTCCCCTGAGTGGATCCAGTTCTATTGGATGTATTCCTAACCTCGGAAAATTAGAAACTGAAAGTAGTAAAGCGGTAGCACCTCCTGCATTATCAAATACAGCAAATACATATGCTGATGCCAAAAATGAAGACCCAAGCAGATGCCACAGTGATAATGACATTCTTGACAAGGTTGATGAAAAAGAAAAGTTCTATACTCCCATGTTGTCTGTGAAGAAGCGAACCTTGTCAACTCCTGATGATAGAGAAGAGTATTTGACACCACTAACTTCCATGAAGAAGAGAGCAATGTCAGAAACAAGAGCCCGTCCTTTCTCAGTACATGGGGTGGATCAACTGCATGAAGTTGCTGAAAAGACCTCTGCTGCTTTACCTGATACCCCTCTTACTAACCCAGAGGCCTTTTCCTTGCCTGATATCCGCAAAGCGTTATTTAGTTCTCCTGATGATGTTTTCAAAACTCCTGTTGCTCCACCTCGAGCGAAGCATGAGGAAGCAAAACGAACTGCTGATAGAGAGCGTGCCCGTAGAGAGGCAAGAGCTAGAGCAAGACTAAAATCTGATGAAGAACTTGGTCTGAGTCCTGAAGACTACATCAAAGCCCTGAAGGAAAAAGCAAGCCGAAGACTGGATTCCAGTGTAGAAAGGGTGCAAGGAACTCCAGTACTTGATGGCAGTGCAGATGCTGGTTCTTCAAAGGTACTGTGGCATAGCTCTAGATTTTTTTTCTTTTCATCTTATTTTACCAATAAAGTTGATATTTGTTTGGTAATTTTCCAAATTTCAGGCTTTATTAATAACTTTTTGTTGATGTTTCATGCTCATTCATTTTTATTTGTTATCTATTTTATTCAGTCTTACTTCAAAATAACTTCTTAATTGTTTAGTTGTACCAAACACGTTTTCATCATATTTTTGTTAACAAATTCTTTGCTTACGAATTGTGTTTAGCTAAAGGTGAGTGGTGGAGATGGGGTTACCTTACGACCAAGACCTAAGTCTAAAGACTCAGAAAGACGGAAAAGCATAATTCAAGCTGTTTCCGACTTCTTTCACAAAAAGTCAAGTTCAAGCGGTAGCCCCTCCAGCCCGTCACCCCCAAGCACAAGTCAGAACACTCCTGACAGGGACCGGGAGCGAGATCGGGAACACATTAAATTCCCGCGGTTCCGTCTTGCTCACAAGTCCAAGGAGAAAGAGAAGGACAAAATCAAGGTAAGACTCTTAGTTGAACATACCTCCATACCTACCTTCCATTTCCATTGATCGATTTTTGTGAAATTTTGGGAAAGACTGATCATGAAATCCTGGTTGTTGTGATCAGATAAAATATTTGGTAACTTGACTCTAACCAGTTTTTGAACATGATTGTTCCATTTCAGCTGGACCGTGTTGGAGCTAATGACTATTCTTTTGATTTTGAAGTAAGCACTTTTGCCACCTTGTCTGCTGTTTTGACAATTTGTTTGGTAGCTGTGGATTTTATGGTTGTTGCATCTTTCAAATTTCTTTTTTTAATACTTTTTTTTTTCTTTCCAAAGTATTGTTTATAACCAGAGGAATGTGGAGGGATTAGCAACAATTTTTTTCAACAAAAAGGATACTTGTCTGTTGAGAGGAAATAATTGTTTCTAATCTCTGAGCATTCTTTGAGAGTTGTATTTTCTCTTGTTTTCTGTTGCTGGTAGTGTCCTGTTTTTGTTTACTTTGTTTTATCTATTTCCTGTTCCAATTTACAACTGTTATTATTGGGTCATGGTTTAAGCATGTCAACACTTTTGGAAAGCTTTTAAAGGGGTACAATTTTTAATCCTAGCTGTATTTGATTTTCCTAATGTGTGGACTATATATTTTGGGTGCTTTAAATTTCCTTTCCACTTGAGGGGATCGATTTCATTGAGGAAAATCCTTTTTGTGCTGTCCTTCTGTTCTTGGGCTCTTAACTTGAATACTAATTCTTATACTTTTAGAATTGGGTTTTTAATCACACCCTTTTATTTTGGAAGTTGTATGTATAACTTGAAACAGTGTTGTGAGATGGTAGTATTGTACTTTATGTCAATTTAAAATTCTTTGCATGTTTGTTGTAGTAGTTGGTTAACATTTTTTGTATTACCTCTCTATTTGTTTTATATTTTTCATCAAAATTTCAATTGGCTTGATTCTTTTGGGCTGTTGTTAATAAAATAATAGTTTTGTGCTGATACTCAATGAACTTTTTGTAAAGGCATTTCTTAAAAGTACCTTACTTCTTCTGGTCTGTCCATTTGTTCATGTACTGTTTAGGCTAATTATGACTGTGCCCTAATTTTTTCGTTTTTTTTCTTCTGTCCCAGCAGCAGGTACAGGAGTGTTCAGCTTCCGGAAAAGATTCGTCTCTAGGAAGTGGAGGATTCATGACAGCTGCAGCTGCTTCCTCAGCAAATACTGCAATGGCGCCTGTCCTTGGTCCACCTCCAGTGCCACCTCCACCATCCAGTTATCTACCAAGAGCCTCAGGTAATTAGTAGTGTTCTATTGTTAGATACAGTATAGAATATTTTATCTTTGGGTATCCAGTAATTTTGTAAGTCTTGGTTTATTTCATTTGGTGTACATATTTACTGTATGTTAAGGTCGTTCTAGGTTCTTTTAAAAGTATTTTGATCCTAAGCACAAATTAATTTTGTGTATTGTTTCATTAAGCACTTCCGATTCAATTAAGTAGTTGATACCAAGTCACATTGATATTTGATACTACAGGCACCAAGTGGCATGTTGATGCTTGTGTAGATGACAGCCAATCTGAGTTAGAAGATTTGGATGACTCCCGAGCAACTGGCATGTCAACACCAACCCATGGTTCACTGTCACTTGATGGATCTTCTTCAAAGAAGCAAACTCGCCTTAGCAGACGTGTGTCTCGCCAGGCACAACTCAAAAGGTATTGCTTAAGTAACCAGAGTGAAATTTATATAGGAGCCAACTATTTATCTTGCAGCTTTTGTGAAAAGGCATTGAATTTCTTATCTTAGGGTTATTTTAATTTAAATATTTTATTTCGATCTCTACAGGCTTCGAATGGCTCAGGAGATACAGCGTCAGCTGGAAGAACTGGAGGTGAAGCAGAAAGAATTGGAACAACAAGGAGTTAGTGTTGAGAAAGCTCTACGAGGAGAAGGCAATGGTGGGATCATTTCTTTTAGTGTTAAAAATTTTCCTGTTTATATGTCTAATGCTTTTATTTGAAAATCTCAGAAAGCGGGCGTGAAGAGGTGGACTTGCTTCATGAATGGTTTACTTTGATGCGTGAGAGGTCGGAACTACGACGTTATGAAAGAGAACTGATAGTTAGAGCCCAAGAGTTAGAGCTGGAAGACAGGCATGCTCGTCTTCAATTGGAATTGAGGGATCGTCTCTCTAAAGATGGTAAGCCATTAAAGTGCACCTCAGTTCAATTTTCAACTCATGTTATTAGAATTGTTTGTTATAGTTTTTCCTCTTCTTTTTTTGTTTCAGATGCAAGTAAGACAGGCGATGATGTGGCCACTGAAGGCAGAATTCTAAGTGAGATGCTCGAAATTGTGCAGAAACGGGATTCCCTCATTGCACGACTAGAAGCTGATCGACAAAGGTGCGGATGGCTGGCCAATATGCCACAAGTGCGCAGGCACAGGCCACAGAAAACCCAACGCTTCCTTGTCCTACTGCTGTGGCTAGCACAGCTTGCAGTAGCTTGGGCACTTTCCTATGTTGTAGTTGGCCTTCTCCTTCCAGACCCAGAATCCTAGCATGTGCTTCTATGACTCCTTTTTATCCCCTGTTGGTGTTGGTGTTGCATGGAATGTTTACACCTTCATAAAATGTCCTATTGTAAAAGAATTATTAATTTTAGCTACTGCATTGTCATTACTCAGTATCTTCTTGCTGGACAACTAGTCATTTTTTCCCAAACTGTATTGGAGTTCCTATTGGTCTCTTCTAACTTTTCCAGTATTGTCTCATAATTGCTTATTCTTTGTTATTTTTATTTTTTCCCTTTCTGTTGGTTTTGGTGATGCATGAGTTCTTTGCATTCTTTTGATTTATTGCCTTGTTCTTTTGTTGTTTTTTTTTTTTTTTGGTTGAACAATTAGTTTTTTCTCTGTGCATGGCTAGTCACTGTTCTGAACTGTATTGTAATTCTTATTCGTAGTCTCTTCGGATTTTTTGTAGTCTTATAATTTTCTCAGAAAGAACGTATTACAAACAGACTTTGTTCTGCATGTGCTTTGTTACTTTTATTATTTCTTTCTGCTGTGATGGCTTCCCCCACTTGTGATTTAGAAAATTGCATTATTAGTTGCATGCTGTTACTATAAGTTAACAATATTCTGCTCCTTAGCCCTTCAATTATTTGAGGTGAACAAAAATGACAAAACTGCAAATTACAAAACTGCTTGATATATATTGGGTCCTTAATTGGAAGCCACTCGGAGAGTGCAATGTAAAACTTATGGTGAACTGCATTTGAATATTTTGGGTCCTAGTTTTCACACTGTGTGTTGTGCTAACATCCCATTCCATTCCAAATAGTCAACTGCAACTAGGTTAGTGAAATGGGCAAAACAGCCACATTTATGGATTGCATGGAATGTGCACCATGCTCCCTCCCTCCTTGTATCCAGTCCCACTGTCTTGTCAAGTCAAAATCAACACCCCCTTGTCCTTTTCTCAGCTGAACCTTGCTCAGCGACAAGAAAAGGTAAGCCAGTATGCAACACAGCAGCCTCATGAATTCCCAATTTGATCCAACAAAAGTCTCCAAAATTGGTAGTTCACCATTCCTTGTTTCCAATTTTTCCCTCTTATATCAAAGCACTTAAGGCTCGCTGCTCAGCAGTGGAAATTTCCTTTCAACTTTAGTAGTTTGACTGTGTTTTCTTTTTCTTGTTGATCAGGTACCAAGAGGAGGAAAAAGACCTTGAAGCTCAAATGTTAGCCAAAGGATTACGATTAACACCTTTAAGGAAGGAGTCTCATGTCTAGAGCCGATGTTGCACATCTATTGGCAAAGTATTTACTTTGTTTCTGGCACTTTTTCTCCTCTATTGGCTATGACTAGCATTTACTGTTCTTCAATGCTTTGTTTAATACATGTTATCAAAATATGTGATCATTGACAGTGCTATAATTAGTTGTCCTGTTTTTTGTTTTAAAAAAAAACACTGTCATTTTATTTTTATCTTATGTATTCTTTTTTTGATTTGTCATATCTCGCATAGCTTTCCTTTGAATTCTTATAAAAGTGTTTAATATAGTAGCTTGTTACATGAGGTCTGACTGGATGAAATAGATATTTTCAATTATTTTCAAATGAATTTCGAATATTTGCAATTGTATTCGTCAGATAGTTCATTTCGTGTTGCGTCGTGCAATTTTCTTTTGTCAGTTTTACTTATTCTCGATGAACTGTATTTTATGTGTTCAAAGGGCTGCATAGTGTTTATGCATGTACTTTCACGCTCAAAGAGAGCTCAGTTATATGAAGATAGTACTTATTCTATGTGAGACTTCTGTCAAACAAATTTTACTAAGGTGTGATATGGTGATTGCTTTTATTTTATAAGTAACGTATGCCTCTTTTTCTATTCCTATCATATGTTTTGATTTTGACTTGCCCTTCTGTGAGAAGTGACTAATCATGAAATGTTAATTTTACTCGGGGCAGACAGTGTCATTTGTAAATACATCAGCAACCTGTGATCTGTTTTGCCTGATTGTGCACACCCAGGAAATTTGTATTTGACATGTGTATATTTTGAATTGTCCATGTACAGAAATATTTTAGGTCATAAATGTCATTTTAAGTACTTTTTGTGATTTACCTCTAGTTAGTTGAAGAAGCTTTTTACAGGTGATTGTGAAACTTACAAGATCTTAGACAGTTTTCAATTTTTAGTGTAGGACTAGTGATTGCCATGTGAAAACACTTACCAGAAATAGGGGGTCCAATGTTATGATGAAGCATCATGCATGATTTCAGCATTATGTCTGGTTACATGATTTAACTGTGTCTGTTCACATCACCAGACTGGAAGCAAGGCAATTTATTTTTCCATCACCTTCTGTTCAGTCAGTTATGAGAAGGCTATGCACATGTAAATGTGCAAGATGATATTTGTTGCCAATATATACCAAGATATTTATTTATGTAGAATTTTCTGACTTTTGTATGGTTTGTTGGGGAGCATGCCCCATAGTTTTACTAAATAGTCAATGTACTGAATTCGAGAAAAGAAAAAATTAGGGGAATCTGCGGTGCTATTATGCGCCTGTTGGAAGAGACTATTTTTACTGCAAGTCCAAAGAACAAAGTTTGATTTTGTATTTTGAAATACTTGTTGGGAATTATTTTTTGGTTTAACATTAAGGGTAATAGGATGTAAGAATTTTGTATTTGATTGATAACAATCATGCAAATTGCTAAATAATGTGATAACACATGCTTGTTGGAATATTTTATAATTTGTGGTAAAGCACTTGCCACATGCAATCCTAATGTATCATTTGTCACTTTGGTAGACCGGATGAGTTTCCTTTCATTGCATTGCATTACAATTGCCATGTAATTTTAATTACATTAGGAACTGTGCATGTTTCCCAGTTCTTCTTCGCTGTTTGACTCTGAAGCTTAAGCTATTAGATCTATATTAGTTACAGGTTGCTCAATGAACTCCCAACAAGATTGCCCTCAAAGAAATATTCCTTTTCTGTATAAGTGATTGCAATAAAGAAAATTACTTGAAACAAAAGCAAGTCGTCTTCTTAATACAATTCAAGCAAAGCAAATTGGTTGATGCTATGTGGAGCGTTTCACACTCAGAAATAGTTGCACATCTGAACAGGAACAGGAACTTGGGGTGTGGAAATGAGACACATGCTTACATGTTTTATGATCCTTTAAACTGTGAACACATACATATAGAAACAGAATTCTTGCTTGAGATTAAAAGTTACAATAGTAGTTCAGAAAAGAGAGTGCACCTCATAGGGCTTTATAAATCCAAATACAGATGAGTATAAGAGGAAGGAGAGGGATAATCACAGCCTAATAATGAAAAAATTCACACTACATATCAAGTTGCAAATTTGTGAATGTTTTCTCTGCATGCAATGTTTCTTTTGACTAGAGAAATATGATATTTTAATTAAAAGAGCATTTGTTCTACCTACACATATGAGTATGGGTGGGAAATAAAATGAGTTAAAATGTGATACAAGGAAATAGTGTATTTTCGGCACACTTATCTCAACCTTCCCCTGAGTCCTGGAGCAGCTATATATTGATTGTACCACATGTAAGTGCAAATAGCACTCAGAGAAAACCTGAAAAGATAAATTAAATTTTATAGTGGCAGCAATGAAAACTCAGATCACACTACTGACAAAAAGACTAATAACGTACTAACCAGGTCAATATGTACTGTAGATGTTCATTTCGAATAGAAAGGTTAGTCTGACCACCAATAGGACCACCCGGAATCCATGAATCCTCCCCTGCATCTATGAAAATTGGAGCTGTGTCTGCTATCTGAGCCATTTTGTCAACATCCCTGTACAAAGAGTTTGACAATATTGAAACAAAATTATTTATCACATCATGCTTATTATTTAAGGTTTAAAAAATGAAGACCTACCGATACACCCAAACATTTCGCTCAGGTGAATTTTTTACCATGAAGGGTTCTCTGGCTTCAGGCAATCTAATGATTCCATTTAGAGTTACTTCCCCTGTAATCTGACCTTCAGCTCGGTTGGCTGGGTTTTTACGATCAGCAGGTACCCAGCCTCTATTCACTAGGATATAATAGCTGCAAAAAATTGAAAGGTGTACATTTTGGGAGGGAACAGTGGAAATAATCACACTACATTTAATGAATACCTACTCTCGATCGTTTGGCTTAAAGGGAGTTATAATATTGTAACCTGCTTTTGAAGTTGAGAAAATACCGCCACCTTCACCCCCCTTATGGTTTTCCACATTTATCTGAGCTCGAGGGCCCATATAGAGCTCCCTTGAATGATCAAAATGTCCTGTTATAACCACAGGACAGTAGTCAAGTTTTTCAATTTCCTCCATTCTGTAGTGGGAGAGACAAACAAAACCACTATTCGAATAAAACAGCAAATGCAAAGGGGAATAGATGAAAAAGTGTATCTGATTAATAAAATTTACTTACGTAAGAGGCAAGGGTATGGGGTTCCGGTGTAGTCTTCGATGCATGTGCTCAATTAACTCCTCTTTCCAAGTCTTCCGCTTAACTTGCCAGCAGCCAAGAGCAAATGCAGTTACAGGAATAGCCTAGAAATGGACAGAATTTAAAAATTTTAAAAGCCCTGTTTAGACAAGAGTTGACACTCATGTAATCACATAATTACCAATAGGAAATAAGCATGAAGTGGGGGTCCTTGGCTTGGAAGTGGTCTGCGCATGGTAGCCATAGAACGATACACAAGCAGATCCCATGTCGACTTTTTCCTACCAGGATTTGCTACTGTCTTCTGTAAAGGGAAAATAAAACTTTCAGCTAAAGTGTCAACGACTGAGTTACATAAGTGGGAAGTCATGGTGCAACGGAGAATAACATGAGGTAATTTTTTCCAAAACCGCAATTTCTAAACTACAGTAATTAAACTCACAGACGATGACACTGTGACATTAAAAACTTACATTTAAAAACAAGTCCAACTCAGATGAACATAACCTCAACAGAGGGCTCCTGAGAGTCGCCAGGCCTCTCGTAGATTGAAACATGACAGGACCTACACTCGCACGAACTCAATAAAGAAAGTGAGGGAAGGCGAAACTATCATCCGCAGAATGGCGAAGCACGCCAAGGACTGGTTAAAGAGGTGACAACGGAAACTTCTGCGGTACTTCAGTCATTCAAAGTGATTTCTGCAACCCTGTGACGTCACTCGGACTTCCCCCCACCACCCCTTGGTGAGCGACTGGCGGGTGAATTTGAAAACAGTGTTCCAGCGCAGCTCCCATCTAAAGCCAGCTACGACCTGAACTTCTGTATTTGTGTTAGTTGTGACGAAAGAGGTGTCGATGGGGTGGAACTGATGTATTTCCCAAAGTGCGCTCAAAACACCCCTGGGACAAATACATACCAAGTAACGCGAGCGGGACTTCGGGGATGGAACCCCCAATCCTTCACAGTTCCGGGACAGCACTGTTGTCCGGACTCTCGACTGGGAATCCTAGGGCGACCCACTAGCCTGCGTGCTTTTCGGAACATGGCGAATAGCAAAAATGCGACTCGACGGGGAAATTCTGTTTGGATTTCCCCCTTTTTCCTAACTTGTTTCCTGATCTGTAATTTGTTCTTGAGATGGAGGCCAGGCCAGGCGCAGCCAGGCAGGGCGTAGTGCCGCGCTATGCCGCGCTATGCCCTGCTGTACAGCTGACCCATTTCCCGGTCCCAGCGCGCGGGTCGGCCGGCTCGCTTTAGCCTCTGGTGGGGCCGTTTGGGGCCACAGGGGCACCGTGGGGCTTGGGGCCACCCGATCGTTACAGCGAGCAGGGCACGGCACGGCAGGGCAGGGCATGGCACGGCAGCCGCATAGAGAGGCGCCATGTGGCCAGGAGAAAGGAACGGGAGAGAGGACAGAGGGGGAGGGGGACGGGAATAATAGCTCTATTATTTCAACTTTTTTTGGGACAGCAGCTCGTAGTTAACATGTTGGAAAGGAAAACTGTACGCCGCGCTGTGCTGCCGTGTGCCCCCGAGATGTGAGCATCCTGTCAAAATAATGCCATAAGGGCCCTTTTGAATCGGTGACTCTGCAGCACTCTGCACGCTCTGCAGGCGTCCCATGGACGCCACCAGGACTTCGCCTGGAGCGGAGCCTGCAGCCTGGAGCAAGGCCCTGCCTGCCGCTTGCGGGGCGAGGGAGGGTGGCGATGATGATTCCAACTTTCAATTCGGATTCAACCCCCGGAATTAAACTTAAACGGCCGTTCGTCCCACCCTGAGGTTGCGGGGCCGAGGTGGGGAATCCATTACGCCACATCAAGTGCAGCACCATCCCCTGCTCGGGGAGGGTCGGACCAGGAGATAAATTTGGAGCAGGGAAGGGTCCGCGTTGTGGGTTCTGACCGAGTGAGTTTGCAACAAGCAGTGAGCACAGCCTACAGAGTTACTCTGGTGCCCAACGTCTGCGCGATACCTCCACACACCGTCGTTACCTAGCCTAGAGCAACCAATTTCGATTCTCTGCACGAGCGCAGGCAAGCTCTTTCTTTGTTGGCCTTGCGACTGGAACACCTGGAACTGTTCGCTGGAGCCGGGCTGCCGGGCTGAGAGGGTTTGTGGCTGCGGGGCTGGGCTGGCCCATGGCTGGGCCAGGCTCCAGGCTGCCACCCACCCTGACCCCATCCAGCCCCACCCGAGGCTTGGCCGGGCCGGGCCGTGGCTGGGCCGCGGGGCCGCGCGAGGGGTGGCTGGTGGAGCTGGTGGCTGCGAGGCTGCGAGCGATGCTGTGCGGCGCGGTGGCGCGGTGCGGAACTGGGGCACCCGATTTGAGCGGCACGGCATACCGGCGTGCGGCCCTTGGCGCCCTGCAGCCCTGCAGCCCTGCTCCAGCATTCTACACTCCAAGGCGGCATTTCGCATTCTGCAGGCCATTAATAATTCTGTGGCGCCGGGCAGCCCTGGAGGCTCCAGTGGACTTGCCCTGTCTCTCTCGCACACCTGCGGGACTGCGGGACGCCCCGTGAGTGCGAGAGAGACAGAGCGACAGTCCGCGTTGCTTTTGCGTTGGGAATAAGGGCACTGCGGGCACTGCGGGCACGGCCACCTTGCGCCGAGTCTTGGGCCCAAGGGCCGCCCCATCCATCACGGCTGGCCACCATCGCAAACAAAACAGCGAAAAAAGGGGGGAAATAAACAAGCGAATTAATCAAAAAATTTAATTAGCGTGTTCGCGTGTCGGTTGGGGGCTGCCAGGAGGGTGTGTGATAAGAAAAGAAAATGTGACTCAGCGACCGTCTTTGTCTTTCCTGTAGGGGATCCATCTCGTTGAGGCTGTCTGTTTCCCTCGAGTTTGCCTGGTGTTGGCTTTCAGGCTGTGAGGGTTCTACAGCCAATGGGCGGTGGAACTCTCATCTCAACTCTCAAGAGACCGCTCGGCCCAAAGCTCGGCCACCGCGATGAAAGATTATGTTCCCCTGAGGATCATCACATCATCATAACACCGTGGGCTTTGTCATGTCCTGCTTCAAGTGTGCCAGCCCCGCTGACCCCCGCCCCCTCCCCCGGGCGCCACCACCGCCGCCCACCCGACACTTCCTGGATGCGTGTGCAGTGCTACGCAGTGCAGTGCCGCGTTGCCCCCTCGAATAAACACGCCGCCCTCGTCGCTCTGGGTCCTCTCTCCTTTCACCGAGCATTTCAAGCCGTCTGGTCAGACAAGGGAGTCACGCCGCCGCCCCTCCTTTTTCCTGCCGGTTCCGCCCCTGGCGTGCCCTGGCGTGCCCTGGAGTGCGAGAGAGAGAGGGAGGGGGAGAGCGCGCCGTTCGGAAGCAAGCAGCGCGATCAATAAGGGACGTCGGGGACGTGCAGGCTGGCAGTGTGCTGGCAGTGACAGTGACGCGGCGAGGCGTCGCGTCGCCGGGCTGCTGCCTGCCGCACGCCGCACGCCGCGGCCGTGTGTGGTGCTGCACTGCTGCACTGCTCGACGTCACGCTGCAGGCCTCGGCCAGACTCGGCCCTCCTCGGTACAGGGCGCGGCGTCGGCGCGGCGTCGGCGCGGCGTCGCGGTGCGTACGGAGGCCGGCGCGGCGGGGCGGCGGGGTGGGGTGGAGGGGGAGGCCTCCACGTGCACGCGGAAATCGGTCAATGACCTCCGCGACGCTCCGCGACCCGACGAGTTCGTCGACCCGGCCGCTGGGCGGCGCTGATGTGCCGCGGCCGGCGAGCAGCTCGCGGCCGCGCGGGGCGGGGCGGGGCGGTGGCGTGGCGGCTCCGCGTAGGGCGTGGCACGGCGTTGTTGCCGGCCAGCGGGCCAGGTGAGCGCGCGGTGCGCGGAGTGCATCCGCCGCCACTGCTGGACCCTTTCGAGGAGTCCCCCCAGCAGACCCATTCCGACAGTCGCTTACGTCGCCCTGTCCCTCTCGCACTCGCGGAGCGTCGCGAGAGACAGGGCGCCGTGTAAACGACGCTCGGAATCAGCCTTAGCACGCTCCTACGAAACGGCTGCGGCCCGTCCCACAGGCATTCACCGGATCAAGGGGATTTTAAAATTTAATTTTTGGTTACATGACTCCAGGCCGCCAGCCCGTAAAAAGCTCCCCCACTGCAGAACATCCCGCCCACTCGAGCCGGGCGCCGCGCCGGAGAGGTCCCTAGCAGAGCTTGGGGACGCCCTCAGCCTCGGCCCTCGACGGGGACACGGAGGGCTCGGCCAAGGGCTCGGCCAAGGGCCCTTCCCAACGCCCAAAAGCCAGCGCGGCCCGGCCGGCCCGGCCCTGCCACGGCCGCCACGGCCCAACGGTACACGGGCCGTACGCTGGGCGGCGCGGCGCATAGCAACCAGGCCAGCGCCGTGGCCCTGTAGGCCCCGCGGCCTGTGGCCCTGCAGGCCCTGCAGCCCTGCTGGGACTGGGATGCAAGCGGAGCCTCCCGGACACACACACTGGCCCGAAATAGGCGGGTGACGTGCGGTCGGCCTGCGTCACCGTCGTCACCGTACACTGCACTTGCGTCATGACGCCACCACCGCGACGGGGAGGGTGGCGCTGGGGTGTGGCCGCGGGGCGCGGAGAAGAAGAAGGAGGAGGAGGAGGCTCTACCATTTTGCCGACGGCGGCCGAATTTCGCGCGCCCCTCATCCCGCTGTCGGTTCGCTGTCGCGCCGCGGCCGGCCGACTGATTCCTCGCTGTCGTCGCCCCGTCTCTCTCGCACCCGCAGGCCGTGCCGCCTGGTCCCGCCCGGGTGCGAGGGTGACAGAGCGACGCCAGCGCGTTGATTAATGGCGAGGCAGTTACGTCACTGTGTACACTCGTCTCTCCGTGCGTAGGGCTGGCTGGGTATGCGGCGGCAAGCGGCGCGAGCGGCAGATAGGGACCGCTGCCATGGCAACCGAAGGGCGGCGGCTGCCGGGCTGGCGAGCTGGCAGCGCGAGGCGCGAGGCCCCGCCGTCAGCCGTCAGCGTCAGCTCCGCGTAGCTCCGCCGCGGCCCGGGGCCAGGGAGGGGGTATAGGGGGTGCACGGGGCCCCGGGCCGGCACGCAACGCTACGCGATCCCCCCGCAACCCGCACCCCAAACGCACCCCATCCCCCTCCCCTAGTCGGGCCCACGGGCGCAGCCCTGCAGCCGCACGGCCAGCGCACGCTGACGTGCCCCCTCTCCTTTTTTGGGCCCGGGGGCGGGGGGCGGGGCGTGGGGTAGGGAGGGGGGTTGTAGTGGTGGCTAGGAGGGGAGTTGCTGGGGTTCGCGATGGGGTTTGTCGCACGCGCCGACCCTGCCCACGCACTGCGTGCCCCCTCTATACTTCCTACCTCTATGCCCGCGGCCCGCCGGCTGGGACGCTGGGACCGTGCTGGGGCTCTAGGGGGCGTGCATCCAGGGCGTGGCGGCCAGCCCGGCTGGCAGGCAGCAGTGCAGCTCGCCGCGACGCGCCGCGTCACTCGGTCATCGCGGACCTCTCACTCAGATCAGAGGGGTCGTCTAAAAGCGAATACTCCCGCGGCGCCACGCCACGCCCTGCCTGCCTGCCCTGCCCTGCCGCGTCGCTTATTTTAGATTCGCTATTTTTATCCACGCCACGAGCAGGGGCGCGTCCGGGGAGCGCGTCAGTGTCCGCGTCGCGTGTCGCCCGCGTCTGGCGGTCTGGCCACGCTGCCGTCCCGGACGCGGCCGGCGGGCCATGAGCAACCATGAGTCTCCGCGGCCGGCAGCGCCAGCAGGAGAACGATCCCGAACAGCGCCTCGTCGCCCT